TGTAGCCTCCTTTGCTGTAATCTCCAGCTGCTGTTCCCTGTGTTAAGTCATCATAGCCTGCCAGTGTGTACAAGACACGGTGTTACAGTGAGCAAACAGCTCTGCAGATATGCATGTGTAAAGCACAGTGGTAAGCATACCTGCCCCATAGCCATGCTGCCCATAGCCACTCCCTTGCTGAAAAGGAGTCGATGTGGTGTTCAGGTTGACTCCATGCTGTTTAAAGATGCTGGAGGTACCTGGACAAAGGAAGGAAACAAAAGACTGTTAACCAGAGAATGGCACACAAAACACAAGGTCCCTCTGCCATCTAGTGGAGAAGGCACCTTCACCTTGTGGGAAATTTGATCTGGCGTTGGGAGCAGTGGGCTGACATGGGACATGGCACTCACACTTCCAGAAGTAAATTGCTGTAGTGGCTTTATGCAAGCTCCAAGTTTTCTGCCAGAGCTGCCCCCCTGATTACATCACAACCCCATCTCAAAACAGGCTGTGTATTTCTTTAGAATAATAGAATCATTAAGGTTGGAAAAGACCTCCAAGATCAAGTCTAACCTTCAACTGAACACCACCTTGTCAGCTAAACTATGGCACTAAGTACCTCGTCCAGTAATCTCTTGAACACTTCCAGGGATGATGACTCCACCACCTCCCTGGGCAATCCATTCAAATGCTTAACAACCCTTTCTGTGAAGAAATTCTTCTTGATATCCAACCTGAACCTCCTCTGGCACAGCTTGAGGCTATTTCCTCTTGTCCTGACCCTTGTTCTCTGGGAGCAGAGCCTGACCCCCACCTGGCTTCACTCTCCTGTCAGGAAGTTATAGAGAGTGAGAAGGTCTGCCCTGAGCCTCCTTTTCTCCAGGCTAAACATCCCCAACTCCCTCAGCAGCTCCTCATAGGACTTACTCTCTAGACCCTTCCCCAGCTCTGTTGCCCTTCTCTGGACACACTCCACCACCTCAATATCTTTCTTGTAGTGAGGAGCCAAGAATTCAACACAGGATTCGAGGTGTGGCCTCACCAGTGCCCAGTACAGGGGAATGATCACTGCCCTGGTCCTGCTGGCCACACTATTGCTGATACGGGCCAGAATGCCATTGGCCTTCATGGCCACCTGGGCACACACTGGCACATGTTCAGTGTGATAATCACATATCCTCTGAACAGAGAGAGACATAGCTGTCCCAGGATTTTCCTGGGAAGCTATGAGAAACTTAGATAAAAGAATTAAAACAATTATTATCTCTCTTTCTGTAACCGTTGTTTATAGATATGGTTCTCCAGAGTGTGCTATTCATAGTTCACCAATAGTGTGAGAGGTTTTTACTTTGAGACCAATCAAGTCTCACCTTAGTGAGTCACATTATAAAAGGACCCACTACTTTCATTAAACAGGCCTTCTGATTCACCTTATGAAGACTGGAGTCTTTCATTCCATCCCTGACTCAACAGTGTCAGTTCATCTGGCTGTTGACCAGCACCCCCAGGTCCTTTTCTGCTGGGCCACTTTCCAGTCACTCTGCCCCAGCCTGTAGCACTGCAGGGGGTTGGTGTGACCAAGTGCAGGACCCAGCACTTGGCCTTGTTGAATTTCTTTCATACACTGACTTTAAACAGCAAATTGTCACCCACAGAATCAAATGAAACACCAACTCCTGTCCGAGTCTGTTTCATAAGACACAGTCATACAGGGCCCTAAAATAGAGTCATCTACCCTTCTGCTTGGAGCATCCCTCTTCCCAAATAACATTTTCCCTCCTGAGACTCCCTGCTGTCTGAGTTAATCCAGTCTCCTCCATCCTCAAAAGGATTTCTTAGGCATTATCAGCTCTCTGACAGCTTTGGATCTCCCTTTGACTATCTGGAGGGTGCTACAGGCTTTCAGAAACATCAAGTCCAAGAGCTGTCTGCTATTTATAGTAACCTGCACAGCAATCCATGAGCTCTGGCCTTTTAAATTTCCCATTTTCTTGAGGAAGAGACTGCAGCTATTTTCTCATGCTTGCATGTTTTTGGAGATCCCTTACAGACTGGGAAAGATGACTATTCTGCTGCCATGAGACCCCACCTGGAGTACCATATCCAGTTCTGGGGCCCCCAGTACAAGAAAGACCTGTTAGAACAGGTCTAGAGGAGGGCCATGAAAATGATCAGAAGACTGGAGCACCTCTCCTTTGAAGAAGGGCTCAGAGAGTTGGGGCTGTTAAGCCTGAAGAAGAGAAGGCTCCAGGAATACCTTATTGTAGCCTTTCAGTACTTAAAGGGAGCTTGTAAGAAAGACACAGAAACATTTTTGTACCAGGATCTGTAGTGACAGGACAAGGGAGAATGTCTTTAAAGTGAAAGAGGGTAGATTTAGATTGGACATAAGGAAGATGTTTTTTCCAGTGAGGGTGGTGAGACACTGGCACAGGTTGCCCAGAAAAGTTGTTGCTGCCCCATCCCTGGAAGCGTTCAAGGCCAGGTTGGATGGGGCTTGGAGAAACCTGATCTAGTGAAAAGTGTCCCTGTTCATGACAGAGGCATTGGAAGTACATGATCTTTAAGGTCCCTTTCAACCCAAACCATCCTGTGATTCCAAGATGTAGAAGGTTTGGGCTGAAGAGAGCAAAACCAGAGAGGCACACAGGGAGGGTTACAGTTTAGGCTATCACACTTACAAACATGGTTGGCCCATATTGGAATGCACTGGGAACACTGGGCACACCAGCATAATAAGGTAACCCAGTGTAGCTGTACCCCGGGGGCAGGGTTGGATTGAGGAATGGCTGCTGAGTTGTATGGTGAGTCTGAGTCTGGTTCTGCTGCGACTGAGCGAGCGTGGTAGTAGGAGCAGGGGAGGCAGAATCTCCACGGCCAAATTTTGTTACATCACCTGCGAAAGAACAAACTCATCAGAAAAGCTATCAAAGCTACACCAGAAGTGGAGAATTCAAAGGATTCAAAATCTCTGAATACAAGTAGGCAACTACAGAAGAGAACACATCCTACGCTTGAAAGCCTGTAGTTGTTCATGGGGAAGCCCTCTCCCAGTCTCTGTTCCTGATGGCTACAGGGACATTGCCTGTTAGTGGCAGAGAACTCCATGCCATGGCTAATCTATTGTTAAAATGGAGATACCAATACTTACCTATCTCACACAATCTGAGCAGATTCATTATATCAGATCATTGCAATAAAACATGCTAAAAGCAAAACTATGGTAAACAGCCAAAGAGCAAATAGTTGTTGGGTTAAAGTGTGACTTTCCTAGAGGGTAAACTGATTAGCTAAGCTTCATGGGCTGAAAGCAAGTTAGGATTTACAGGAAGTGATAGGCATATTTTTGTCAGTCTGTTTATTTATCAAGCATGACTACAGTTAATATGTCTGGTTCCTCACACCACCAAAGTTCTGGAAACAATAGCTGAAGGCCAGGAAAGCAAGACTTGCATCGTGGCCCACCTTTTTTAAGAAGTAGGAAGGGAAATTTGGTTATTACCCCAAAAGCAGACTCCCAAGAGAAATGATTGTGCAGCAGAAAAACTCCTGAACACTTGCATTTTCTGGTGGCCTACAGAGCACCATGCTCACATGTTTTTAGGGAGGTGACATATATCACTCATATCTATCTCATTCCCAACTAATATTCCTTTATGTTGGTTACCAAAAGGTATGGCAACACTTAATATAATCGTTATAGGAATTATAACACCTATAGCTACAGTTTTAAGCTGAAATCAGATTGTAGTGAAAGAAAACCACTGGCTGAAAATCCAGGATAGCATTAAAGTCATCTTTGCACAACAATAACTGAAGAGTAAGAGCAGGAATGAACAAGGGTTTCTTAGACCACATGCTTTTGGGAATGAAGTCCATTAGATTTGGAGAGGGTGAGAGGGAGCCTGCTAGAGGCAGCTCCTGCTGAGAACATACAAGTACTAAAGTACTAAAATAGCAGTAACAAAGGAAAGCAAGCCAGTCAAATTTCAAGAAGAATGATTAAGCTATGAAATAGTTTTCAAGCACCTATATGTGCTTGGGAAGGACACTAGATGACACTACCATTTAAACTTGTAACAATTTTGCACTTATTATCAAAGGGCATCCAACTTACTCCCAAGAACCGCCAAGTCACATATGAATTACTGACCAAAACCATGAAGGAAAAAAAAAAAAGAAGAAAAAAAAAATCAACATCAGTGTTTAGAGAAAGATGCTTGCTTTTGTTTGGCTAGTTTGGACTGATGGGTTTAACTGCCTACAGAAGGGGAAAATGACTGCTTTTTCAGCAACAGCAGGATGACCAGCACATCTCACTCACCATCCTCATGTTTAAAGAATACTCACCTGAGAAGGGGTTGTTAGCAAGGCTTCCATCTCTGCCTGTCAAGGTTGCAGGAGCAGGGAATGTAATTCCGTAGTAATCCTTAGAAAAAGACATCATCATTTATTAATAGCTGAAATGCTGAAACCATAACAGAGCTGGACAACTCTTATGAACCCTTATATTTTTTATAATATAACCCTTATATTTCTTATAAGCATAAGAAATTTTTAAAAGAACTAAAGGAAGTTTGGGCAGAAACTGACCTTATGTACAGCATAGCTGAAGGTTTACCTGTATCCTCAACTTTAAAATAAACCTATTTTGCAGACTTTTTTAATATAATAGACAAATATTTAATCTCTTAATGGTAAATTAAAGGCAACGACTAAATGCTTACCCCTCCCAACCCACAGCGCTGAGCTGTCATATTCCAGCGAGACTGTGTCTGGAAGAGCAACAGACCATCAGAGGCCAAAGACCTAGATTCAAGCCAGGACCATAATCACAATGTGGATGTAGTCTAAAGGTTTTAACATGCTCTGTTTTCTAAAAGTAAAAAACATCAGCTAGGAAAACACAATTATTTAAAAAACTGTTGAAAAAGAGTTACCACCTGATGACTGGAAAATTTACTTAAACTATGTTACAAGAGAACTCAGATCAGTAGTCTCTAAAGTGAGGTGCACAAGACAATCCACTGGGGTGCATGAAGAAATTTGTTTTGGTATAATTAATAAATACCAATAAAAATTTAAAATAGAGCATAAAAATAAAAATTTGTTCTCATACTTTTTTTTAATTTTCATCTTTTTTTTTATTTTCATGTATGTTTTATAACATACATATTAGTACAATAGCATACATATATAATTTATAAATAAAAATATATTGGGAGTGCTCACAATTTTTTTTGCTGATGAAGTGGTGCAATCAAAAAAGGTGGAGACCACTGCCCTAGATCATTTTTCTACAGGAAGGTAAGAAAATTCTCACCCTAGAAAGCTCTCACTTAGACAGGACATGCCAGCAAAACCAAAGCAATATTTTGTCTTTAGTTTGGGACAAAAAGAGAAAAATTCACCCTTCCCTTTATGGGTGAACTCCACATATGAGGCTGGTACTCTACTAAGTAATTTTCCTCTTAATTCTCATGGGTTTCTCCCCACCACCTCCAATCCATTAAGAGTGTCTTGCATTACAATGTAAGGTATGTATTCTTTCACCACCTATATCGCCTTCTGATGAGCTGTTAATAGTCGCTCATTTTCAACAGCTGCCCAATGCACACAGCCTAAAGGGGGGAGGGCATCCCTGCTAATGGGATATCAAGGACTCACCAGCATGACTCATAGAATTACATCATCCCATTGTGAAATTCCCCGCCCTGGGGGAGGAACCAAACATTCCTACCTGTATGTAATCTGGGACTTGGGACAGCATGATACAACCACTGGACCTCCAGAGAAGGATCAGACCTTTCTACAGGATCACTGCTTTGACAAGGCCACATCCATCACTCTAACAGGACTGCTACCACCACCCTGACTAACAGGGTGTCAGGTTATATTCTGACTTTGTTGGCTTAAGCCAATGTTCCTGGAGTATTGCCATTTTTGTAATTGTCCTATTAAATTGTAGTTCTGACTTGGAATCTCTTGCAACATATTTGTGTGGAGTTAATTCCTCCTGCTGGCTTGCCTTCAAACCAGCAAAAAGAGTTAATGCTTTAACCATTTACATATCAATTTTCACAGTCTTCAACATTGGAAAAGCATCCTCCTCCTTCATACCCCTCTCTGCAAATTCCCCAGCACCTTCTGCCTTGCTGCATTTCTGCCCATCCTTCCCATCTCCTAAACCCAGTCCTCCATCACTGAACCTGAAACCATCTGGCAAGGATTTAGTATTGCAGGTGTTTCCTGTAATTTGAAACTGTGCTATATTTCATCCTCCTTTCCTTCCCAGTTAATTCCATCTCAGCACCTCCAGCATGAATCACTTAGCAAAACAACCAAATTCATATTAAAAATCTTTGCAGTTTACTCAAAAGCAGCACTCCCATCTCCTTCTAAGGAACATCATAACACAAAAAGCAGATTTGGAGAAGAGATCTGAACAGAATTCATTAGACATGAACTGGAACTGACACAGTAGCATTTTTTTCCCTATATAAATCAGAAAAAATAAAACCAAATCCACATGAGAACAGGATCTAAAATTGCAATTATTACCACTGCCCCTCAGGTAGGGGATGTGCTGGTTTTAGCTGGGGTAGAGTTAATTTTTTTTCCCAGTGGCTGGTATGGGGCTATGCTTTGGATTTGTGCTGAACACAGGGTTGATAATATAGAGGTGTTTTTGTTATTGTTGAGCTTACACAGAGTCAAGGCCTTTTCTGCTCCTTGTACAGCCATGCTGGGAGGAGGCTGGGGGTGCGTGGGAGCTTGGGAGGAGACACAGCTGGGACAGGTGACCCCAACTGACTCAAGGGATATTCTAGACCATGAGACATCATGCTCAGCATATAAAGCTTGAGGAAGAAGGAAGAGGGGGGGGAGACGACACATTTGGAATGATGGAGTTTGTCTCCCCAAGTCCCCATTTACATGTGATGGAGGCCTGCTTTCTTGAAGGTGGCTGAACACCTGCCAGCCCATGGAAAGCAGTGAATTACTTCCTTGTTTAGCTTTGTTTGTGTGTGCAGCTTTTGCTTTTTCTATTAGACTGTCTGTATCTCAACCCACAAGTTTTCAAGGTTTTACTCTTCTGATTCTCACCCTGATCCCTCTGGTGGGGGGAGTGAGTGGCTGCTTGGGGCTTGGTGCCTGGTTGGCGTTAAACCACAACAGGAAAACCACATTAGCACTGAATATCCCTATCCCACACACCTGTGCATACACACATTTAAAACAAAAAACATTAGAAAATACAAGTGCAAACCAGTTATGTTTACATTTCATTCCCGCCCATAGGAAAACATCAGAAGAGATACTCTTCTCATCAAACAACATGGGTATTTCCTGACTTACAGAAGGCATGCAGGAAAAGGTGCCTAAAGTCAAAACTGACATATCAGGAATAGACTCAAAATGCAAGACAGAAAAGGACTGAAAAAGAATGTGTTCTGATGTAATAGAAGTAAGTTCCACCAAGCAGCTCGCTAGGTAGCATGCACACCAGCTAAGGCATTTATAAGATCTCTACTACACAGGCAGCCTGCAACAGACTAACAGACAAACTTGAAAATAAAACCAAGCAAGACCACTCACAAAAGAGACAAAAAGGAAACCCTAAAATGCATCCCCAGTGTTAGGAATATAGTTAGTAATTTGTGGAAATAAACGTTGTATAAAAATATATGTGTATAAAATAAACTGTGGAGGGGGGGGAGAACCCCTTTCCTCAGGATGGAAAAACCGAAGCAGAGCAGATGGACACCATGACATTTGCTTTCGAAGGGAACCTCGGCTACACGGGAGATGGGCATTCACAAAGGTATGCGCCCAGTGATAACCAGAGCCATCAGCACCTGCGGACCGAATGCCAGATTCCGGGAATCAGGGAAGTGTATTATTCTATTCCCGGACAGAGGCTTTGTGCAGCCCAAGCCAGAGAAAGAAACCAACTTGAATATGAAGAACTCAGAAAGAAACAAAGACATCCTGCTGCGGGCAAAATAAACTGTATAAGAACTGCTGCCTCGAAGCAGCTGGTGTGGACGGGGAGGTCTGGTACTAGTGAGTCCATTCCTCACGTTCACCCGTATCACCGACGGGGGTGGTACGCTGTCCGTTTTGGGTGGTGGCTGTCGGGACTGTATTATGGTCGTGCAATAAATTTTATTTTTTATATTTTTATTAAAATTGGCTATTTTTCATTTATAACACCCAGTACAGCTACCCCAAAAGTCTATGCCACCATGCTTTCATCACCCACTGAACCATAACAGCACAGTGTAGAAAACTGCCAGGCTTGCTGTGTCAAAATGTGGAGAATTGATGAGACTAGTTGAGCAAGAACTTGAGCTGAGCCAATTGTTTATCTTGCACCTGGCTTGAGCAAGGGCATGCTTATCTTAACAACTGAATGATGTCTGGGGTGAAGCAAAGGCCTCTGCTTGATGTCTCAATGAAGCTAGAAAAACAACCACAGAAGCCTCACAGAATAGCACCCATGCCTCTCTACCAGACATTAGCCTCATACTCCCTTATCCACACATAACAAGTCTTGTTAGAAGTTTATAAACTATGACCTAGTCTCATCTCCTCAAGATTATAAATCTGGTCCTTTGCAAACACTTGGTGGAGATGAGAAACACCTCCTTAAGAGGAGACACTTCACTGATTGCTGGGCAAATTGACAGTTCTAACTCATTTTCCTTTCTCCCTTAGCAGGGATGCTTCTTTCAGTAAGAAATTGCATTTAGCAGATGACACCCAGATGAAAGTAAGCTTAATTAAATGTGAAGTTAAGCTTAGTGAACTGTGAATTCTTAGCTTAATTAATCATTGGCTAGCCTTAGGATATTTAGCATTAACACAGCAAGAGAATTTATCAACAGCAATTCTGAATCTGTCCCCTCAATAAACTATCTATATTGGACTTTGTGAAACTGTCTCAGTGAAAGTCCTTGAAGACACTCTGTCAGGCGAAAGTTAAATCCATACTCTTAAAGCAACACACAGGAGCCAGGTTTCCCCCACACTTCAACAGCAGCCCTCAGGAGACAGTAAACAGAAAGCAAAACCAAAAATGTAAACAGAAATGCTGCCTAGATGATGATGAAAGAAAGGCCACAGAACCATATAAAGTTGACTGCCCAGAAGCAATCCAAGCACAGCATTTACTCTCACCCACCACCAAGCCTGACCAGACTCCTGCCATGCAGCACCCACAGCCCTGCCTGCAGCACGGTGCCCTGGTGCTCCTACTCCTCCTGCTGGCTTTTGCCACAGCCCTTGCTTGCTGCCACCTGCATCCCTGTGACATCACCTTCCCCCAGGACAGCTCCCAGCCCACCACAGCCCTGCCACCACCAGCATGTGCCATTTGCCTTCAACATCCTCCTCCACATCAACTACCCACAGCAAGCTGTCACC